TTAAACTTATATTAAAGTTTTTCTTCATTACCCATCCAAGCCGTTCTCCAACCATTATTATTCATAATCTACTTATTTGAAAAGATAATGCGATAAATAATATTTATGTTTCTATAGCTGAAAATATTTTTTTGAATATCTTCATAAGCCATTTCTACATGTATTATCACAAGTAATATATAAGCCTTTTAATACATTTTAAATAATGTATTTATTGAATATCTTACAATGGAAATGGATTATGTCTAAATGGAAAAATTAGTTTATCTAACAATCATAAGAAATTCACTACTTCAAACATAATGTTTTTTAAAATTTGTATGAGCCGTCGGATTGTATATCCTAACTAAGTAATTATAATGAATTGTCTCTATAGAAACAACGACCATGGCTCTTTGAGAAATAAATGCATTTAAAAAATAAAAACGTCAACCATGTATCTTCTGTTTTATTAGCCATGTTAAAGTTGGCCGAAACATCATAATTAGTTTAAATTTTATGATATCCAGTAAAATAGTAACTCCAAAACGATAAGCTATAAATCATAAGCGTTCGCCCCATTAGTGTGGTAACTGAAATAATAATGACAAATCAGTAGCCGTCTTATTATTAAGTCTGAAAATGTAAAAAAAAAAGTATAAGGTTTAGATAAATCTTGATATCCAAATTATATATAGTAATATGTAACACCCTTAGTGAAGAATGAGCCAAATAAATAATCGTAATAAAACATTTTGCGACAAAATGACAGAAGCCTCAGAGAAGACGAATTACATTGTGAATGTGTCTCCACAACACAGAAAACTAAAGCCATATCTGTCTTTGGATAGACGTGCTTAGACTCCTATTCTAGATTTTCGACATTAACACGAACAGCGTCTGTACCTTTTGTTTTTCGGGCAAACGGATAAAAGGAAATGCGACTAGGGCTTTATATGCCAGTTCCATAAAGAAAGCGTGAACAAAGGCAGCCATTTTGTTTTTATTTCTTTTACTTCTGTCTGAAAATCTCAAGGCATTTTAAAAGGTTTTTCAGTAAAAACAAAATTTATTATTCTTTTTGGTAAGATAGAGCACGTGTATATTTTATAATGATTATTATTGGATGTTATCTTCTTTTACTATTTTCTATTCCCTAAATTAATCTGAAAGTAAGACGTGATTCGTGTAAAAAATAATATGTTCAGCGTTTTACTGTCTTCGACTTAGAAGCATTCATACGTTGTTAAATATCCGATTTACTATTTTCTATTCCCTAAATTAATCTGAAAGTAAGACGTGATTCGTGTAAAACATAATATGTTTTAAGTCGAAGACAGTAAAACGCTGAAGCATTCATACGTTGTTAAATATCCAAGTACTCCAAATAACTTTGCCATAAGTCATAAAATATGTTACATCTTCATATAGTGAGGTCGTGATTTATTGCAGTGAAGTACTGAGTAGAATAGGTTATAAAATATTAAAATATATTATAACATAGTCGTGACTTCTGATTTTATCTTCCTTTTGTAATAGTCGTTTTGTTATAACACACATTCACTATCCTTGCTTTTTTGGAAAATTTTACTAAGAAAAACCTGAACCTATTATAATATGCAAGCAAGAAAAATATTATATTTCTTACACTAATCGATATATCAAACAAATGCGAGATTAATCTAAGGTACATAAATAATACAACACACATTATTTGTGCATACTCATTTAAAATGTTCGATGTTTACATTGGATGTGAATAACTAGTATATCAATTGAAGTACATGGTTTTTCAATTAAATTATTATTATTCTTTTCTTCAGATTTAAAGATCTTTACGATATTTTTTTCATTGGTAAATGTCAATAAATACTTGATAAATATTTGTTCATGGAGAAGGATAGATAGAAAACATATAGAAAGATATTAATAATAAACGGATGAAACTTTATTTGACGATCCACACTATAGTTGTGTTTTTCTCTGGATACTCAGATCGAAAGAAAAGATTAATGTAATTATAGAGTTAAAACAATAGTTAATTTAATAAAACATTATAATTTAAAGTTATTTTGTGATCTCCTTTAGAGAATAAAATATAAAGTTAAATCCTGAAAACGTTGCATCTTACTTTATGTTTACACAATAAATAAGTTTAATCCTGAAAACATTGCATCTTACTTTATGTTTACACAATAAATAAGTTAAATCCTGAAAACATTGCATCTTACTTTATGTTTACACAATAAATAAGTTCAATCCTGAAAACGTTGCATCTTACTTTATGTTTACACAATAAATAAGTTCAATCCTGAAAACGTTGCATCTTACACTATGTTTACACAATAAATAAGTTCAATCCTGAAAACGTTGCATCTTACACTATGTTTACATAATAAATTATTATTAAGTAACTGTTTTAGAAAAATAACCTTTACACAAAAATAGTGTTTCTTACACTCAATATCATAAAACAGTTGTCATGATGATGATAGACTTTTGCAACTATGTTGCCAGTATCTTACTGTACACCTCACAACATATATAATAAACTCACTTTAGAAATGATATTAAATATCAGTTTCGAAAGCAATACTTCATTGATTATCGTAAAGTGTTTCAGATAGTTCGAAACTTTTTAGGATACCAATATCTCCTAATGCAGTTGTAATAGCGAAATATTGAGCTATTAAAGATACATGTTGTAAGTATAGGTCGTTATTTTACAAACCAAAAAATCAACTTGCCCATCTTTTTTTTTAACAAATTGTTAATATGGAGAATGATCTTTATATTTTCTGGATGATACGACTTAACTATCATAGTAATTTATTTTCTATTTCATCGTACATTGTTGCATATTTCACTCTTTATGCTCTAAAGTTTAACATTTAAGTCAAATTATGTCATAGCAACAAAAGCTAATACATCTTACTGAAAAATTCCATTTTAAAATAACCATAAAAGTATCATAGATATATGTGAAGAATGTGATAAAATATATAAGGTTTTTTTGTTGTTGTTTTTAGCAGAAATTCCACCCTCCTAGTAATAGAATCATATCTTACTGATTGCTATAATCAGGGTTCTTCACCTACTATAACTGAAGGTATTTTTGATAAATTAGGTGGTAAATTCTTATGGTAGAAAGTAAATAATCAATATAACAATGCTTTCAATACTAAGATGTAAATAATCAATATAACAATGCTTTCAATACTACAGATGGAAATATTGAAATGAGCTTTACCAACTCAAAAAACATTTTTATGAAAATGTAGTCTGGAAAAAAATAAATCAAACTCTAATACGTTTTGATCAAAATGACAATATTAGCAGTTTCTCTACTGTTTATGTAAATGTAAGTATATTATATAACTTCTCCCCAAGTTAGCGTTATGAAATTGTTTTGTTCCGAAACGATTAATATCAACTTCTGTTTTAATTGCAGCCGTTTAAGTAACGCCTTTAATGGTTTTACTTTTATAAAAAACAAATGCACTTCCAGTGGTTCAACGGTAAGTCTCTGGATTTATAACGCTAAAA